ACAGTACGAACAGATACCCTCCACCTAGAGAAAATAAGACATGTCTTGATAGACATATTGGAGGAATATAAGAAGATCTGGGGACCTATGATCACCTTCTTAAAGGTAAAGTAGACTACCGGTCACTTATACAGCACTAACATGGAGCGTCACGGGGAAGTACACCTCAGGGCCTCGGAGGGGGGGTTGTTTCTCTGTCAGTATGTATGTTTGTTATATACTAATAAGGACAAACCAAGGAAGTCCTGATTTGCACAATTTGTTGTATATGTACCAGACTTTTTTTTTGCTTGCTTCCTAATAAAAATATTTGAACAGGATGTACAGTGCCTGTTTATGGGATACTTCCACAAATTATTATTGTTTGTTCAATGTTTCTTAAAGGTTTTCAGTAAAATCGCTACGGTGAGCAACACATTCCAATAAATGTTTAAAATAATGAGTTTTACATAATGCAATTCCTTCATTTCATTTGCTTTGTAAATGTGTGTTTAAAACAATCATTAAAAAAATCTTTTCTCTAATATAGAATGAAGACATATGACCATGTGGAGGACTTGTTCTTTGCTAACCCTTGACTCTGTAGCTGAAACTGAAGTTGTTTTCTCTGGCTGTTGTTTAACCAATGGAGGACATAGTTTTGCATTTATACATTTTTTTTTTACAAAAAGGCTAATTCATGGTAACTTTAAACCAAATATACAAAGGACCCTTCTTGAAACGTCATTTAATTTCCTTGAGGATATAACTTTGCATGAGCTGAAGCAACTGTTTCTGTGTGTCTGCTATTCATTTTCAGTGAGAATTAAGTCATATTTTAGATAACTGATTGGCTCACGTGCACGTCCTGCTGGTCTTTATACAGTTTTGATGCTACATTAGATGCTTAATTTCACTTGTTCACACTTCGTTGACCAACTTTGGGTGTCAGTCAACATGTAACTGTATTGAATGTGGTGCAAAACTCTGTAGTGAGGCCAAGATAGGAACAACAAATGAGTCAACTAATTCATTTACAAAAAAAAAACTCTCTTATTCTTTGCTGGGTTCAGTAGAGAAGCTGTATGTTTGGTGTTTATGTGCTCCAGATNCCGTGTAGGTGTCCATTGCCAGAAATGTACAGAGCCCCAAAGCTACACAAAGACACAAAGGATCACAAAGACACAAGTTCATTATTTAACTAGAATCATCTTTCATTTTCACAATTTATTTTTATTTTCCACATATTTAACCATTTACATACAAACATGATCAACTCAGTAGGCTTGCAGTCATCCTCAAATGTATTCATACCCTCCCATTAAAGAAGGAAAAAAACAGCTGTCACTGAAATAAATTGAAATTGACAAAAGTAATAATAAATAAAATTTTACTGAAAATCATGACATTGCTTTTGAATTGTGGGAGCCAATCACTGCAATCAAGTGTTTTCTGTAACTCTCAATCAGACTTCTGCACCTGTTGACAGGTATTCTGGCCCACTGCTTATCAGCAAAGTGCTCTAATTTGTCAGGGACAGTTCTGTTTGTTTGTTTTTTAAAATTATTCTTTTCAACCACAATGAAAAAGCAATGTCTTATTTCTATAAATTATAACACTTGACTTCAGTGATTGGCTAGGGTTGTTCAACAAGATAGCAGTTTGCGGGTCCCATCATCTGCAAGGTGACTCAGTGGTTTGCATTGTTGCCTCGCAGCCAGAAGGTCGCCAGTTCATGTCCCGGTGAAGATACCTTGGATCTTTCTGCGTGGAGTTTGCATGTTCTCCCCGTGCAGCGTGGGTTCTCTCCGGGTTCTCCGGCTTCCTCCCGCACAGTCCAAAAACATGTTGAGGTTCATTGGTGATTCTAAATTGTCTGTAGGTGTGAATGTGAGTGTGCTTGGTTGTCTGCCTCTAAATGTAGCCCTGTGATAGACTGGTGACCTGTCCAGGGTGTCCCCTGCCTTCACCCTGAGTCAGCTGGGATAGACTCCAGGCCCCTGTGACCCTAGTGAGGATTAAGCGGTGTGTAGATAATGGATGGATGGGTCCCATCATGCTTGTTTGTTTTTAATTTTTCTGTTGAACCACAATTCAAAAGCAATGTCATGATTTTCAGTAATTTTTTATTATTACTTTTGTCAGTTTCAACTTATTTCAGTGACAGCTGTTTTTTTCCTTCTTTAATGGGAGGGTATGAATACATTAGAGGATGACTGTACATCTCTGCATACAGATTTGTATACAGATAATATGATTAAACAGAAATCCCGATATTCTTCTGTGAAGTGTCATCAGTTTTACAGTAATTAACTGTTAAAGTAAATTACAACTGTGACACTGTAAAAATACAGTAAAATACTAGAAACCACAGCTGCCAATTTGGTGTAATTTTACCTAAAAATATCTCACAGGTGTAATCTGGCAACAACATCTTTACCAGGCAGTCTAATCTGGAGCCTCATCTTTCCTTCTTGCCATTATGTGCTACAGGAAGCACTACTCCTCTTCTGTTATCGTGTTTGTGCCAAATCTGTTCAGTAGTTGAAATGGGGATAGACGAAGATAAGAGGAGAATGAGTGGATGAAGAGAGGACGAACGAGGGCTTATTCATCCTCTTCGCTCCACTTGACAGAGGTGTTTGTGTGTTTACTGTCTAAAACAGCACAATGCAGCGTTATGCAAAGCGAGGAGCTATTTTTATAAAGCACTGACTGATGTAAATACTTCCTCCATGTATCTGCTGACAGTAGAAGCCGACCTTCATCGTTCCAAGAATAATGAAGTAAGCTCACAGGCAGTATGGATTTATTTATAATGTTCAAATGTAAATCCTGACACGTTGCATCTGCATGTGAGAATTAGTGTGGGGACAAGGAGAGCTTGTCAAGTTTACAAGTGGGCCTTTATATTTTTAAACTACAGCTGTAAAATAGCAAGAGAGTTGAAGTATGATTGTCTTTCTAAAGGGAATAAAATGTGAGAATAGCTTTGATAAAAAGGACTTTTAGCCTTATTGACCAGGATGAGGAGAATTTATTGGCTGACAATCAAAAGAGACTGAAGTAAGTATTGTGGGCTGCTGACCTCGGAGGCCAGAGGTCACATTTACTCAAGTACTGCACAGGTATTTACTCAAGTATTTCTGTTATTAGTAGTACCCTCACTACTTTTCAGAGGCACATTACTCGCCTGCATTGATTAGAAACCTTGTTGCTTTGAAGATCAGGGTTTATCAGTTTATATGATGCTTTATGATCTTATTGACTCAGTTAGTAGGCATGTTCTGACTCCTGTCAGTGACTGAAAATGTTAAGCTCCCCCTGTTGGTGATTTTGAGTTACTGCGGCTTTAAGGATCAGGCACTGTAAGTGTTTATGCATAAGCTGCAAGTGCTCCACCACAGAGAGTTGGTTGTCTGGAGTGGAACNAATTAAAGCTGCAAGCAGCGTTTGTCGGGTCCTCGGTCCGCGCTGCGACCGCATGCCCGTCTGACCGTTCTTCAAGTTAAACCTGCTTTAACCCTAGAACACTAACGCTAAAATTAGTCACACTATCACTAACGCCGGGCAGATGTAAATGAACATTAGCTACATGTTAATCACTTGTTAGCACTGCAGAGAAACTAGGCCTGTGACAGGATGACAGCTGTGGATGAAATGGGGCAGAGGATGTGGCCGGTCTGAATGTTGTTTCCCTTGAAAAGTGCAAAGAGCGCCTCATTTCAACACATAAACACTAGCATTGGGTAAATTCCACCCATAAAATATGTTGCCCTCTATCACTAACGCCGGGTGAAAATCACCCGAACGCATGCCTCTTGAATAAACCATAGATGGGAGGTGGGAAACAAACATACCATTAATGACATCAATGAGCAGCCTGAAGCTAAACAAGGACCCACGCAACTCAGACAGCAGCAACACAATGAAAATCACATGATAAAAATCATGTGGGTGAAAATCACCCGGCGTTAGTGTTCTAGGGTTAAGGTGAAGGAGCCATGTTTGTGTCTCTGCTCAGCCTGTCAGTGAGTCACATGACCAGCTGCACTGCGCTGTGATGATGTCATCGTTCTTCGTGCCCCTGACTGAGAGAGTGAGAGTTTTACTTACTGACTTTTGCTGTGTCAGTTGGTCATCCACACAAAAAACTAAAGGTCCTACAGCTTTAAAAATGACACTGAGGGCTTCCTAACAAGATTTCCCACAAAAATATGCTGTTTTTACACATATTTGGTGAAAATTGTGGCTGTATGGGACAGTTAAAGTGAGTAAAACTCTCAGCTCTCTCAGCCAGGGGAATGCTGAACGATGACATCATCACAGCTCAGTGCAGCAGGTCATGTGACTCACTGACAGGCTGAGGCTTAAAAGACAGAGAAAAATGGCTCCTTCAACTTAAAGCAGGTTTAAATTGTGTCAAAATGCAGGTCAGACGGGCATGAGGGTCCAACGCAGACCGAGGACCCGACCAACGCTGCTTGCAGCTTTAATTAATGAGTTTTACATAATAAAATTAATTTCATTTCATTTGCTTTGTAAATTCGTGTTAAAACAACCATTAAAAAAATATTTTCTTTATTGTAGAATGAAGACATATTACCATGTGGAGGACTTTTTCTTTGCTCTCTTTGTGATACTTGAGTTCTTCCATTTCCATNTCACACCCTACTATTGGAGAAAGAGGATGAACAAACACACACACATTTCATTATCTGTCCTCACTTCTTATCTTCCTCTTCTTACCTCCATGCCAGCTCTGTATTCTGAACAGATATGACACGTGCTGTTGGCACAGAAAGATGTCAAGTTTACTTGAAAAGAGAGGGAGCGTTAACAGATTATACTAAAGTAAAGTGATGTCTGTAACTGTGTGTTTGCTTTCCAAAACAGACCAATGTGGCTTCATGCAAACAGAGCAGCTGTGTAGTGATTTGTTTAAAAAGGAAACAGCACACCAAAATCAATGAAGATGTTTTATTAACATGAGCTAAAAAAAAACAAAAACAAAGATGAAGAAATCATAGTAAACGCACAAGGTTCATATAGAGCCCCTTAAACAGCATTTAGTCATTATAGTTCTGAAACTTTGCTGCAAAGTTTCATAGAGTTCACTGGAGACTTTAATACATCTGAACAGGAGCAGTCCGGCTGCAGAGTCTTTGGCCAACCAGCTGTCTCTACGACAGGATGCAGCTGTTGTTCTTCCTCAGAGGAGCTCTCCTCTTCGCCGCTGCTCTGGGCTCCGTGTCTCTGCGCCTCCGCATCGCAGGGCTCAGCCGGTGCGGCAGGTTCACCTGCTGCAGCATTGCGCGGAACACTCCCACCGTGTTTGCACCTGTGCGCGCTGACGCCTCCACAAAGCCGGCATCCCACTGCTCCTCCACCGTGTCCATGGCTTCACCCGCGAGCAGCACGCGACCCTCGGCCTCCGTCAGGTCCGCCTTGCTGCCAACCACGGTGATGGGCGCGCTCTTGCCGCCCCGCAGGTCCAGGATCTCGTCGCGGAGCCGCCGCACCTCCTCGAAGGAGCCGGGGTCGTCCACCGCGTACACCAGGGCGAAGGCGTCGCTGTGTCGGATGCAGAGCTCCCGCATGGCCGGGAACGAGTAGCTCCCGCTCGTGTCCAGGATCTCCAGGCGCATTTTCCCGGATCCGTCGGTGTCGTACTCCAGCACGTGGAGCTCCTCCACCGTGCGCTTGTACTTGTGCTCGAAGCGGTCGTGGAGGAACCGGCGGATGAGCGCGCTCTTACCGACCCCCGCAGCGCCCAGGAACACCAGGCGCACCGTGTTAGGACGCGCCGACGCAGACATGCTGAGCTGATCTCAGTGCGCACAGAGGCTCCTCCAGAGGAGAGATGAGAGCTGCTGCTGATCTTGAGTCCTGAGTCCTCCTCCGGTGTGCATTCATGAGTATTTATAGCTGCTCTCCACCGGGACCCCACCCCAACTGTTGCGCACGATTCAGCACGATTCAAAACACACGGTGAAGACCAGCCGGTGACGTGTGGCAGCATGGAAACATAACATGGTTTATGAATTTAGTGTTTTTATTGATCTGTCAACAATCAGCAGTCATAGAGGGACTCATGCTGGACACACCAACACGTGGTCCCGTGCGCACCATGACACATGGAACCTCAACACCACCACAGAGACCACTGACAGACCAACTCACTTGAATTGCTTTAATTGGTCACGTGATTGAAATAAGTTCATCCAATTTATGTAAACAAGTTATATGAATGCTACTGGTTTAAGTTTGAGCTGCTGAAATGTTTTGACTTTTCTGGAAAGTCAGCTTTAAGTTTTCAAATTTGTCAACTGAAGTAATCGCTTTAGCCAGATAGAAAATAAACCTAATTTAGTTCTTAAACCAAAAAATCCTACTGGAAGTAAATGGCAGTTGAGTTGCTGCAGAAGAATTTGAAGGAGCATAGATGTCAGAAGCATAAAGGGTTAGTGAACCTCGTTTTCTGTTATGTTTACATTTACATCTGAGTTTAAAAGGGACAAAATGTAATTTCAAATTGATAGAATCCACAAAAGTAAACTGGCTTCATCCAAAGCAGAACGATACAGGAAATGTATTCAAACCAGTACATTACTTCTTCAGCTACAGCTCAGATACACTTTTTACAGATTTCTCAGGAACGCAACAGTTCATAAATGTGCTGATCATATTAGCTGATATTTGTGAATCAAATAAGTTAGCCTGTTTATTAGTGAAAGATAAAGCTTATTTACATTTTAGTTTAGGGAAGTAAAAGCAACAAAGCTGTAGCTTGAAAAGCACCACTGACCTTGACACAAAGGCAGCGGTAGACCACTGGAGGCAAGTCTCAGAGTAGTTAAAATACAGTAAAACATCAAATTAGCTTTGAAAATATTGACTAACAGTGCTACTTTCCAGGTCATTTAAAATTAATGTGTTCAACAGTAAATGTAAAGTGAATGTTCAGGATTAAAAAGTGCATTAGCCTTAAAACTGTAAACAGTCAACAGAGTTCTACGTCACCGGTCAGTCTACTCATCACGACTTTGCACTCAGTGGCCATACCTTTGTTTAGTTTTTCCCTCTTTTTCCCGTATTGGATTTGCTTTTGGTTCCTCCTTATTGTGTTCTCAGGAACTCACAGTCTGAAGTCATAAAGCCGCGATCATTCATGCAAGGCACCAACACGTGCAGTCGTATTTACACCAGGAGTGAGTCATGGAAGGTTTGTCTTTAATGATGGTCCGCTCAGACGGATCCGCTGTTTGATGCAAGCACACATTATTGTATAATTATCACCCGTTGAATAGCAGGTACGTCCTGTTATTAAAAAAAACAGTACACCAGTTTCAGACGACATATTCTGGATAATTTCCGCAGCACAGTAAATACCGGCTCAGTGGGCCACACCTGGGCGGACTTCTTGAGAAACGGTGTGGAGTGATAAAATCAGAGATACACTGACAGCACAGCAGATGGGCAGCAAGAGAGGGAGTAGTCAGGTTTGCAGGATACATTAATAAGATTTTAGAACGTCTAACTTCCTAATTTTATTCCCTGAAACGTGTAATTGTTGTCACAAGATACAGTACAATACTATCTGGCAGGACGTGACTATCACTGGGTAAATAGCTGCTGTGATAATTTGTCAATGTGTGCGTGCATTTGTGTGTGTGTGTGCCATAGTTTGTTCTCTCCCTTATCTCTGCCCTTGAAGAAGGTCAGTATGCGCAGTAATATAAAGGAGCAAATAAGACAGGAACAAATTAAATAAAAAAAGAGCAAACTCACCTGAGCCACCAGTCACAGCAGCACTTTAAACAACTTTTAGGCATCTTTTAATACAAACCTGTTTCATTAGGTAGACCTACTGGGATACACTGCAGCATTTTTGCAAAGTAAACACTTATTGTGCATCAGTTTTTCAGTAGGTGGTGTCTCCACAACACTGCCAAGAGTGATGATAAACTATTAAATGTACATTACATGGTGTGTTATAGTATGTAGGCAACTGAAAATCCCATCTCATTCCAAACTTACGGAGATCAGTATTGCTTTTATTCGGCCGCAAGAGCTTTGGTGAGGTGAAGTAATGATGTTAGGTGGCTCTTAGTCAGTAGTGAAGGTCAGTGATACTTAAAGGGTGCCAGCTGGTCACAGTGAAATGAAATGTAGTCACACTGGGAGCTCTGTAGTTTGTTTATACAGCAAATGTTTAATAATGTGTCTTTGCTGTTGTTCAGTTCATTTGAATAATTTCAAATTAAACTGAGTCCTTGGTATTTTATTGTTTATTAATTTTACC